TTTTTTTTTATATCCATATATATAATTTAAATGTACACTATGAACAAAGAATTTAAATTAAGAATGATAAAACGCACCCCTGAAGCATATTCGTGCTTTCTAGAAGGACAAAGGAATAAAGGGAACAACTAGCTAGGTAAGTACCGTGATATCATTTAGCTGATGACATGGTTTTTGGAGATGTTAATAGTGCTTGATATTCCGTCACCACTCTTTTACATGCAATTTTTTACTTGTCTGTGCAGATTTTATTACTATTCTGTAACTTTAAATTTATTTTTAAAATATCCTATATTATTGAAAGTTGCTGCTTATAATAACTTTTTAGATTTACAGTTTTTTTTTTTTAATATATATCTACTATTACACGATCTAATTTGGTTTTTAAACATATTTATAGGAAAAAATTTCGTATTTAAATTTTTTTCCTATTTAGAAATTTATTAGTAATTTTTTTCTTCTAATTCCAATAATTCAATATTTTTTTTATAAAAAAAGAAGGAATATTTTTTTATTCTAGTATTTTTTAAAAAGTCGATAAATTACTTTATGAATTAAAAGAATATTTTATATTCTATTATATGTAAAATAATTATCACTGTTAATTTTATATTAAATATGTTTAATAGATAGTAGACTTAGTGGTCTATTTAAAAAAACATAAATATTTTTAATTTTTAAGATATTAAAGAAATCATATAAGATATTTTCTCAATTTTACTAATAATAAACACTTTTTTTAAGTATATCCTTATACTTTCATCTCTTTTTAGAATTTTTTATTCATTTAATTTTGAAATTTATACTACTGTTAAGAGATAAAAACATATTACACTTTAATATATTTTAATATAACCAAATATTACAATATTTAATGTCTAAACGAGAGATTTAATTGAAAGAAATATTTTTATATAAAAACATAAGCATTTTATAAATAATTTTTGTCTACTTTTTTTAGTTATTGAAAATAAAATTTAATAATTGATGTTAATATTTAATAACTACTTTTGAATAATTTCATTCAAAGAAGGTAATATACTATAATAAATATTAATTATTAAAGATATTTCCATTCATATATTATTATTATTATTATTAAGATGCAAATACAATAACTAATATGACATTATCTTTTTTGTTATATAAGTTGTTATTTTAAGGTTTCAAAATTTTCCAACACTTAGTTTTTTTTAGGATTATTTCAAATTTTAGACTCAAATTAACTGGATACTAAAAGCCTGTTTAGATGTCCTTTTAAAAAGAGAGGAAATGAGAAGAAAATGTTTATTTATAATTAATTCTTATTTAAAAGTTTAGAAAAAATGAAGAAAAGTGTTAGGAGTTTTTTGAAATCGTAATCTTCTTAAATTCAATTTTTGAAGTTCTTTTGAAAGAGTTCCTTTTTTTTTTTTTTTTTTTTTACAAATTTTAAACATTTAGGAGAAGTTTAATCCTTCTTTCTTTCTTTTTTTTACTTTTTAAATTCTTTCTTTCCCTCTCCTTTATTAAACATGATGAAGAAAAACAAGAAAATATGTTTATTTAAGTATATATTTTTAATAAAGTATTAAACAGTAAATATAACAAAAATATCATGTGTATTGATCAATAAATTCAAAGTAAAAAATTATTAAAATATGTGATTAATATAATTTTATTATGATATTTAGTATCATTTATCATTTAATGAAAATTTTAATAAAAACAATATTTTTTTAATTTTTTAATCAAATTTATTATTACTTAATAAGAACTATATAATATTAAAAGTAACTGGAAAGGTTGACTTCTTCGAGTTTAGAAACACACTCTGATTTTTTACCTTGAAAACATATAATATTAAAAGTATATTTATTTCACCTACAATATATTACCAAATTGAGTGAGAAGTACGAATTAAAACAATTTTTGTCCTTTTATTTCCTTTTATGCCATGTTGCGTATATTGACTCTAATACTGTTTTATTTGTGAAAAATAATGATAAGATAAAAAGAAAAAACAGATAAAAATAATTATAAAATAAATATATTTTGAAATTATTTGATACAAACAAAATATTAAAAAAAAGTATTTTTCTTGTATGGAAAATTGTACCCTTCAAATGATACAAAATTACAATATAACATTAATCTCATATTTATTATATTTTTTATTTTATATATTTAATCAAATTATATAAGTACTTTTAAATATATTGAAACATAATAATACTTTACTAAATAAATATTATTTTTAAACTGATTAAAATATAATTCCATGACACAGCGTAAACAGTAGAAAGGGAAGGCTCATTATTTTTAGTACGACTATTCATGACCCACCTCATCTCATAGACTAAATCTACTATTAGGCTAATTTGGTTGGGTTCGAATGGTAAAAATTATTTAATGTATTTTAAGGGTAAAGTTTGGGTCATACTTTGTGTCGTCCTATCTTACCTACTTAAGAGTCTTTTATTTTTTTAAATAAATATATATTAATAATATTTTATATATCATGACATCATATTATATTTATATTATTTATTTTAAATTATAAATATATCTTAATTTAGTTTTATATTTCACTAATTCAATAATTTATTTATAATATTAAGACTAATATATTTTTTATTTATAAATAAGATTGACGAATGTGTTTGAAAATAAATACACAAAAATAAGTATTTAAGATAAATCTATTTTCATACTAATATAACATATTTTAGGTTTATATTTATATTTATATTTTGATTTATAAAATTTTTTAACTACTTTATTTTTATAATTTTTATCATTTTTTAGTTATTTGAATAAATTAGGCTCGTTACAAATAAATGCTTTAATTTCGTATTTTTGGTTATTTTGATCTTGGAATACTTTTTTTGTCATAACTTTTTCTACATGTATCGTTTTTTGCTTATTCTAATTGCATTAAATTCTGGAGTTGGATTTAGAGTTATGTTTGATTTTTTATGATTTTTTGAAGTTGAAACAAATTTGTTGAATATTTTTACAGAATTACATTTGGACCTTTGTTATTTAATAATTGTATTTGGTCTTTTAGATATTATTGAGGCCCAAATTTTGGCCACTTAATTTACCTAATTAGAGCTTATAAATATACTAATAATGTTATGAATTAGGGTGTGCGATTAAATAATTTGAGTTTTTGAGATTTGGCCGTTAATAAGAATCCTTATTTTTATCTTCTCTCGAATTCTCTCTTTCTACTCTTATTCTTACTTGGGTTAAGTGCTTCAATGAAATGTTAAACCTTCCATTCAATCTATAGAATTTAGATGTTGTAAATCTAATTTGAATTTTTGGTTAAATTGCTCTGAGTTTGTTCTTTTTTTCTCCGGTCTCAGATTTGTATATTGCGATCGTAATTAACTTTGTTGTAGTTAGAATTCAAATTAGAATTTGATTGATATTCTAATTTGATAATTAATTTAGATTAGGTTAAATGATAATTTGATTTAATCTGTGATCTAGTTCAATTAGGTTATTTGATTGAATTAATAATGAATTAAGTAATCGTTCAAACTCGAATTAAAATTTTTAAATACCATGATAATTGAAATTACATGTATTTGAGGTTATGTGGATTAATATTTCTTATTCTGTTTTTGTTCAATTTAATTTCATTTGTAGTTCTAATTGCATTATTACGAAGTTTTCAAATCCCCAACCTTTATTTGCTTTATTAAAAAAATTAAAATTGAATTTAACGAAAAATGCGTTTCTACGAATCAACTTAAGTTAAGCTTTATACTGCAAATTTCTTAGAGGAACTTAGCTGTTTTGATAATGAATTGGCATCGTCTATCACATACTATAAGTGTGCTTGAAAAATATTTTTACCTAATTAAAAAATTTATTTTACTAACAAAAAATTATTTTAAGAAAATAATGTTATCTATTAAAAATAGCTAACACAGATAATTATTAAAACTTTATTGAAATACTATTCTAAATAATATTTTTAGAATGTTATTCTAACTATATTATTTGAAATGCTAGTTTTAAGCTACTAATTGAAAGTAATTTTTTTTTATTTTCTTAATAATTTATCTTCTATTCATTAATTCGTAAAATGCTGATACCTCTATAAAAATTTTGTATTATCTAATTTTATTTAATAAAAATATTTATAAATAAGAATAAAAAATATGATCCTAAATGATAAATGAAGTAAAATATAAAAATTGTTATTATTTTGAAAATATATAAATATCAAATATAAAATTCTAGCATAGTAATTGATAATGTTCTTATTTTTTTTATCTATTAGTTTATTCAGCAAATAATGCTGAATAAAAATTATAATTACCTTCAGTTCGTTTTTTAACTTTTGTCTAGCCTTTTTTTATTAATGTTGCCAAACAATTATACCAAATACATGAAAAGGGATTGAAGTAACACTGCTCTCTGTTATCCTTTCAACAAATATCTTGGCCTTGGATCAGTGTAGAAATAGAGAAGCCGTGTTATATGCATTAATTCTTTTCTCTCCAACAAGCAACAAATCAGAGGAAGATATTTGCACTCTACTCCTATGTTATAAGCATCACAAACAATCGCATTCCAATGATTAAATCATAATGATACTCATTCAAAAAATTGAAAGATAAGATAACGAGAAAAAGATATGTTAGATCAAACGAGTAATATATATAACCGAGAGAGATTTTAAGAAAATGTAAATATTGTAAAAAATTAATATAAATGTACAATGTGAATACAGGACTGAACAAAAGTTACATTTTGATGTGGACTTGATGGAGGCGACGTGTCTAAACTCCAAGATCTTCTCACTTTCTCTCCTCACAAAGCAATTAAAAGAGCCAATACGTAAAGAACACAAGGAATATCTTTAGATGTCTCTTTATTAAAGAAAATTCTCACCTTCTCCTTGTTTAATAAATTGTAAAATCCCTCTAATTATTTGAAACCCATCGCATACAAAACCTCTTCACATAGGTAATCCACTAATTGATTGCTTGAAGAGTTAACCCAAATCAACCTTGGTCTACACTCAAAGAACAAGAGCTTCAAAACTTAATATCCAAAACCGCCCCATTTACATCCAAGTACTTCTCAAACCCAATTTTTGTCTTCTAAAGATGTCTCTTCAGCAGCAGCCACAACAACCAGTTCAGGTTTACCCATCCACAGTCACAAATCAGGCACCTTCACACCATTCAAATGGGTCTTTTGGGGCAGTTTTCATTGTGTTAGCCATAATTCTAGTCATTTCTGTAGTCGCTTGTTTTCTTGGACGCCTATGCAACAGGCGCTACAACAATAACCACAGTCACAGCCAGAGACCCACTAAGCAGCAAAGGCCTCAGATTCACAACCTCCATCAGAGAGAAGAAGACATTGAATTTGGGGTTGACAAGAGAATCCCAGTTCCACCACCAATTTTAAGGCCCAAAGGAAATGGTCATGGTCCTGATCACGGTCATCATCCTCATGCTCATGGTCCTGATCACGGTCATCATCCTCATGCTCATGGTCATGGACATGGACATGGACATGTTGATGATCATAACATGAAAGATTTCGAAATGAGACCTGGCCTTGAAGGAGAGCTTAGAGCAGGTGCATGATGGAACTCTAAGAGGACCTTACGTATACTTAATTAGTCTTTCCCACTTTTACCACTGTATCTCTTCCTATTTTCTTTTCCTTTCAGTCTTGGATTGATTTCCATGCCAATTGTATGATTAAATGTAAAATTATCTTCTCTACTTTTTTACCCTTAAATTTATTTTTTACAAGTGTCAAGCGTGTAATATTATATTTATCCACTTTTTTTTACATAATCTCACATGTAAATAAATGGTTATGCATATTGCTTACTGTTTTGTTATTTAAGGAACTGACTTTTGACATTGTATATAACTTTTATTGTACACAATTATTTATGTTTCTTAGTTTTTATTATTCTTTTATGTATATATACTTAAAATAATTTTTTTTATCTAAACCATATATATATATATATATATATATATATATAGAGAGAGAGAGAGAGAGAGAAAACGTATAATATATGTTATCTAAAAATGTTTAAACAGTAAAGGGAATTAATTGTTTTTCAAAGTTATATAAAAAATATTTCTGTATATATTATCTCTTTTAATAATGCAAAATAACATTATCTTTGTTTCAAGTTGTTGAAAACTAAAATCAAGCTTAGTAACTGTTAAGATTAATTGCCTAAAAGCCTTGGCATAAGATTTTAGGTTTTATTCCTAAAGTATGTGGCATGCCATCCTTCGTTTAAACTTTCTTTCCTTTAAACTTTTGTCTGATAAAAAGCAAAAGAAATCGATTCTAAATAAAGTAATTCCTTAAGTTTTTAGTCCATATATGTTGGGCTCATTTTATTCATTATTCCTTTTTTTTTAAATCATTTTAGTTCTTTAATTGACTGAATCGCATCCAATGGTTTATCTATACTTTATCATTTTCTATTTCCATTGCGGGGGATCATTGTTGGGTGAAGTAGCTAGACATGTCCTGATACTTGCTTTTAATTATAAAATATAATATATATGAGACAACTCACAGACACACATGCATAAACACACACACACGTGTAAGCAAAATGCGTGTAGATTCACGCGGATTATGATAAATTCCACCAAGTTTATTTCCTTTAATCCACAAGAGTTTCTTTAAGCATTATCATGCAAGTTGACCGATTGAGACAATTTAAATGAATTTGAGTTTGTCAGAAAATATTTATGATTAAGCAGAGCCTCGATATTATTCAAGATTATTTTCACGATAAAAATATATGACGAATTATTTAAAGGAAACTAAACTTCTTTCAAATTTGCTAAAATTCCAACATCTTATGATTGACCCATTTCATAAATGAACACAAATTGCTGCAGGCAGTGGCAGCCCAAGTTTTAATTTTCACGTGACTAATTCTCCCAGTAGAAAAAAAAAAAAAGGTCTTTATTTTTTAGGATTAACAGAAACAAATTCAAGCTGATTACATTTTTCAGTTTCCCCCAAAAGAATTATTTATTTATTTATTATTTTATATATATAGTAAAAAAGGATTCGTCAACCTTAAATGTCAAACTTAGATATTCACCCTACTTAAATAAATCACTAAATATTCGTTTAGTTAGATTAATATTATATTTTAATGATTGATTCAAATAAATTTTAGTTAAAAATTTAATCAAACTTTTATCACAAAGACCTTTAGTCTAAAAAAAATATAACTACATGTACATTATTTAATGAGATATGCATAAAATGGGAGAAGTAAAGTTTATTTAAGTGAATTTGATTCACTTTAAAAAAGAAGAAGAAGAAATCAAAATTAATTGAATTATTTTATTATAAATTTAAAAACAAAGCTCATTAAATTCAAACTAAACCATCTTGACGAAGAATGAATTGATTGAATTTGTGTCATTATATTAATAATTAATATATACTTTTAAAATATTTATTAAAAAATTTAAAAATTCATAAACTTATGGTAAAAAATACATAAGTATATCATAAAAGTGTCAATGACAGCCCATGAATTTATGTTAATTTGAATATATTTATTAAGGAAAAGATTATTTTTAGATACACATAGTTAAATAAGGAACAAATCAATTTAGTTGGTTTGATTTAATTTGTCAAGACTTGTTATAATAAACACTCTTCCATGGATAATTGACCTAATAGATATTAAAATTTGGGACATTAACTTCTGTTTATATATTCATGTATGTATAAGAGATGTTAAGGAAAACAACAACAATTGAGTTCAATATAATAATTTGAAATTTTAAAGTTAAAATAAAAAATGCATTGAGTACTTAAAGTTTAGATTTCACTTGTGAGAAAAAATGTTTAAATTTGTCTTTTTCACTTAAACAAATCAAATTCAAAATTTGAGTTTACTTTAATTAAATATTTTGAAACTTAAATTTCACTTCATCCTCTAGTCAAGATTTAAAAAACACAAAATATCAAAATAGGTTTACTAATGAAAAATAAAAAGTCAAAATCATGATTTTTCTTATTATATTATGCATTGCAACACATATTAATTGGACTTTTATAATTTTATGGTCTTAGCCTTGTCTAGAGTCAATTTGCACATTGTACTAATTTATTTTTCATGTGTGTCATTTTCTAACAATAGGTTTGACATTCAAAATTTGCGAATGATTTTTTGACGTGAAAATGAAAAAGAAATATATGCTTCCTGTCGATAACTTTCAATTTTGTTTATTCTTTTAAATAATTTAAAAACAATTTCCTCAATTTTCTCCCTTTTGAGTGTATAATTTCAATATCCTGACACTATTAGAATTTTAACTTGTAACCATAAATATATTTTTTTTCACTTTTACTAGGCTACTAGCCCAATCTCAATTGTAAAATCTAATGAAAATGTTTATAATTGATAGAAAGAATACCAGGTTTATTGTTTTCAAGAAACTAGATGAAAAAGGTTGTGCTTGTGTTTCAAATACGTCTATTGTTCTTAAATTATTAATAGATTCTTTTAAGGTATAATCAAATAACACAGCATAAGCAAGCTAGTTATAAACAATTGATGTTCTTTATTTTTATAAACAATTGATACAAATTTTGTTGATTATGTGCATCTTTTCTATTTACAAACTTTATTATTGAAAAATAATTAGCTTTCTATCCAAACATAGCTGTAATTAGGAAAACAAACTGAGAAAATTGTGCTTTCAATTATCTTATTGCGTAAGTGTAGTATAGTAGCAAGAGAAGCCATAAAAAGAAGAAAAACGAAAAAATATTTTTAGAAAAACAATATTCAATAAGCATATGTATAAAAGAGCTGAAAAAATATATATTCAAATAATATAAGGAACTACTAACTTACATTTATGAATGGCTTTCTACACCTTCCCTGTCTAACCACTTCCTAAAAACTTTTTAAACTATTACGCTATCAATTTACAATAAAAAACTAACCTTACATTATACTATACATATAAAAAAAATTTCATTTTTAGTATCACAGTCACTTCTTACATTGAATTTGGCGATAAAAATTTACATCTTGAAATGCCAAAACAACATGCAAATATAAAATTTAATTTCAAAATAACTTCTTCTAGTCTAAGTTCGTTAGAAATTCACTCTCCAACCAAATATGAAAGTTTTGTGATTTTTAGAATATAGTTTGAGCCAAATTAACAATAAAATAATCCTATATACTAAAAAATTGCAAATCTTTTTAAAAAATCTGCAAAAATCCATTTTTAAGTGCAATCAAAAGTACATAACCATTCTATGACATGAATAACATCAATAATACTATATTAACATCATATGTATTGAAGTCAAAGATTTAAAGTCCATAACACACTCACATTAAAATATTTATAGTAAACAACAAAACTATCAGCAACATGTAATAAAAAATTTGTAGAAATATCAAGAAATTATTTAAACAATTTTCTAAGATATAGAACTACTTATACTTATCAAATATGAATAAATCACATAGTAAATAAAGTCATCAATAAAATCTTCTCAATATACTCATTTACAATTTATTAACCATCTTTTCTATAGAAACTTTCAATCTTGCTGTTTTTAGTAAATTTGTTTATTATTCTTTTGCAAACAACATATCCATCACATATTCATCAAATAAAAAGGGTTAAGGGTTCTCTTTGGCTCAAAATTTATTAGCAAGATATTTTCTTAATTTATAAATTAATACTCCCCCTTAATTTTTGTGTTAATTCTTGTAAGTTTCTTGTGAAGTCCTTCTCCGCTCTTCCATGTGCACTTTCTCCTTTCTTTGCAAGTGCTCTCCACTCCCTTTAATCTCCAAGTTTACATGCTAATGGTCTCCAAACAAGAAAGTTGATTGTTTACAAGGTCTTTTGTGTGGTAGACTTGTGTTTAGGTAAAGTTTGTTGCCTTATTTGAGGTCTTTAAGGTAGGTTGGTGGGTGATCTATCTTTGTGGAGTTCAAGTAGAGTATGTTGGCATGTGCGAATATTACTAAACTGGCAAAATAACTCTCACTCTTAAGGGTTTAGGGTTTAGCTTGCATGGAAGGCTTTAGGTTCACGTGATTTCTTTTTGTCTTTCTTGCTCAAGTGGCTTACGACTTTAGGTTCACGTGATTTCTTCTTGTCTTTCTTGCTCAAGTGGCTTACGACTAGTCCTTTTAATTCTTATCCACTTGTGTTTTAACTCTTATGGTTTCCTCCCAACTCTTTTAATCACTTCATACTACACTTTCTAGTCTAGTTTCAGTTGAGATAGTCACGATTTTATGCTTCCAATTGGTTTGGAATAATTTCTAAGTCTTGGTTAAGGTTCCTAATGATTATTCATTGACTTGCTTGACATAGTTTTATTTTTTATTAACTAATTCATTCCAGCTGGTCTTAGACCTTATTAACTTCTAGTTTAACTTGTCAATTAATGGAAATCAACTGTGCAAATGATCTCCAATTGGTCTTGAATTTTTGCTTAAGTTTTCACACAATTTGTTCCTAAAATCACATTGAATCATGAATTTTTGGGCAAGATTTTCTGCAATTTTTCTTAAAATTTTTTGGTTTTTCTCTTTTCACTTCCACCATGTTGTATCAATAGGTTAATTACAATAAAAATTTTAGAATTTAATTCCTTCGTTTACTTTTCCAAAAAAGTTGATTCCTAAACTTGTTTTGGGCTAGTTTTGAAAACTTTCCATTTTTCCCTCTTCTAAATCTAATTAAATCTTTTTATATTCCATTTTAGATAATTGAAAATTAATAAAATAATTTTTAGAAAATTATTGCCCCTTTATATTGGATCTTCTCTCATAATCTCATATTTCTCTTTAAATTTGACTTGATTTTAGATCAATTTCACAAATTTTAATTTAATTTTTAATTTCTTTTATTCTTTTCTATTTTTAAAATTTAATTAAGATAATAAAATATTTATTTAAATTATAATGATAAGAAAATTAGAGTGTTACAAAAATTTATGTTATAAAAACTATCTTTTTATTTACAATTAAAATTGTCAATGTTCAATTTTCTTCACAAGGTTATTTTCATAAAATTTTAATTAATACTTTTTTTTTCTTATTTTTAACATTTTATGATGAATTTTTCAAAAAATATATATAATCAATTTCAATAATTTTTTAATAGTGTTTAGCCATCAAAATTTTATATACAATTAATTTTAATAAATTTCTTTAAACACAATTTAGAGGTGATAATTCTGAATTAATTATAATTTAAATTTCTAAGTTATGTGAAATATTAAATAATAGTTTTCAAATAAATTTATTTTCCCTTTTTATATATAATCAATTTCAATAATATTTTATTAAATACAATTTATAATTAATTTATAATCCATTCTTTGGTGCTGCAAAGTTCATGTGTCTAACATTACATGTGATTTTAAGCATTCTAAATCTTAATAATCATATATTTTATTATAAAACTATATAGTATTAAGTAATTGCAATTGCTTTTACATAGATATATAGATATAGATAGATTATGAAATTTAAACTTGACTCCAACCTCTAATCATGATCTTATTCCTTTTGAAACTTTTCACACAATCATCCTAAAAAGACTTTCATATTCTCTTTAATAATAGTAAAAACAAATACAAAGCATAAAAAAGATAATTCCCTATAAATTTTTAAATGTTTTAACACCTATTACTAGTCCATCTCAACTTTTAAATCTAATGATCAAGTGTATAATTGAAAAAATATATATATACTAAGTTTATTCTTTCCAAGATGCTAGATCAAAAAGGTTGTGCTTTTGCATGTCTTTTTTAAAATAGATCTATCCTTTAACATATAATCAAATAAAATTGCATATAATCAAATAAAATTGCATATGTAAGTTGGTTATGTAAAGTTAAAGTCCTTTAATTTTTGAAACAATTGATACAAAATATTGTTAATTGTGTATCTTTTCGATGGAGACCTTATGTGAAACTTTGTGATTGAGAGGAAATTAGTTCTCCATATTTAGATGTAACTAGGAAAAGAAATTGTGGAAGTTGTGCTTTCAGTTATCTTGTTACATATAAGTGTAACATAATAATAAAAGAAGCCATTAAAAAAAAGAAAAACAAGAAAGTAGTTTGGAAAAACCATATTCTATAAGTATATGAATAAAACAAGAAAAATAAAATAAAATGTTACCCAAATAAAATAAGAGACCACTAGTCAGGAGTTATGATTAGTTAATAGTTCTCTACACCTTCCTTATCCCATGACTTTCGAAAAATCCCTAAACCATTGCACTATCGTTCTATAACCAAAAACTAACCTCACATTACAACATTCATATAAAAACTTCCATTTTTAATTTCACAATTACTTCTATCATTGAATTCAGCGATAAAAATTCACACCCTTGAAAAGCCAAAATAGAATGCAAATAGGAACATCGAGTATTAAGACATTGACAATGAAATCTTTATCCATTCTTCCTATGCCGCATTCATTTCTCAAATATGATAATGTCTCTCCCATTCTTGCAATAAAACCTATTTCTGATTTTGATACAAAATATGAATCCAATTGTGACAATGAAGAAAACATTGATGAAAATTATGAGTTCAGTTTTGCATGCATCAAACATGAAGGACCGTTTGTCTTTGCTGATGAGATATTTGATAATGGCCAGATTCGACCAACCTACCATGCATTTGACCAATCTCTTATTTTTACCATCACACACGACAAAGAAACCTCACCACTTCAATCTCCATTGAGGAAGCTCTTTGTTGAGCAAGTTAATAGTTTTTCCTCAAATTCAAAAGTATGTTCCAATGATACATTACAAAATATGACGATGGTAGAAGTGGATGTGTCAAATCATCAGTGCAAAAAGAGCAATTCCACAGGATTCTCAACAAAATGGAGATTTAAGAAAAATTTGAAGCTACGAAGCAATAGTGATGGTAAGGATGCTTTTGTTTTCTTGAATCCTTCGTTGACAATGTCGATGAGGTCCAAAGAGGCAAAGAAGAAAAATGTTGTTTTGAAGAACAAAAAGGGTGAAAAAGTCAAAACAGCTTTGTCACCTCATGAGAAATTTTACGTGTCAAATAGAAAACGAAAGGAAAGTATTAGACGAAAGTCATTTTTGCCTTATAGACAGGGGTTAATAGGATTTTTTACCAATGTAAATAGATTTCGTAGAAACCCTAATCCTTTTTGACATCGAAGTCATAAATTCTTTATTACATTTTAGTTGTTTCATCTAAGTACCATAAAACAAAGCTTTCTTAAGATACTAATCTATGTATAGTAGTATGTAGTAGAAGCAAACTTGTTTAATGGTTTCATAGTAATTACAAGTTGGAATGTTTTTTTGCTCTTGCTGATAAAACAAGAGTTTGTAATTCCCAAGATTATAATATTTTCAATGGTAGCAGTTGGAAAGCAGTTAGTATAAAGCAATCTGGAATTCTATTTAGGTTTATAAGAACAATCAATTATTTGTTTAATTTTTTCCTGACAAATGACAAATCAACATAGTTCTAAAAAATATTTGAACTCAAAATCACGTGTTTATATGATTCAATCTAATTTGTGATAAGTACAATAATTTCTTACTTCTTTAGTTTTAAATCAAACAATAAACTTAATTAGATATAGACTAGTTAAAATTATACATAAATGAAAAAATAAATATCATAAATGAAAAAATAAATAAATTCATGTAAGTATGATCTTAATATCTCCACATGTTAAAAATTTAGATATATAGAATGAATAATATGTTTAAGTTGGATTGTTTTTTCAATTAATTAATACATTTACAAACTTATACAAAAAATAATAATAAAAACACAAAAGTCTCAGAAATTTTAGCATAAAAATTATAATACTTTAGTTATTTTATTATTTATTGTATGGACATTTTGCAAAATAAGCTTATTTAGAATGAAACTGAGAAGGATCCCATTAAAAATGAAATAAAATCAAAATGGATCCTCAACCAAATATAATTTAACTATTTAAGACACTTACTATGCATAATTGATTTATTTAAGTTCACTAATCTTTTAATTAATTATCATTCTTCACAAAACTTAATATTTCAATTTGTAATGTTTTATTCAAGCTAAAATGTGGTATCTATTTTAATTGATTTTGTTTTGTGATGAAAGTTAATTAGATTTTTTACATGAAATGGTTGATAAAAAAATTAATCTCTCAATTATAGAAAATGAAACCAAAATTTTATTGATGAACAAAATGACATCATTCAATTTAAACGATGAATATTCATCTCAATTTGGTTTTAAAGTCTTTAAAAAAGACACTAATTCAATGAGACAATAATAAAAAGGAGAGATAAATTTTATTCCTTAATTGATTAACTAGTAAAATAATGGCAATTTTATTTAAGAAACTAAATTGATAATACTTCTTCTTTGGAAGAACAAAATAGTTATTCATTCCTTTGTCAATCAATATTGATAATTGTTTGATATAATTTTATTTTAAGAATCATTCCAATCTAAATTAATTTTAACAAGTTTAATTTTTGTCAAATACGTTATTTATTTCTAAATTAATGACTTTACCGTAATTATTCCTATATGTGATGAAGGAAGGGCATTAAGCATTTTTTTAATCAAAGTGAAAGGGATCTTCCTACATAACAAATTAAAGAGATACAATTACACATCGAAAACCTTATGTTAAAAAAGTGTTATATTAAAAAAATTAAGGAAAGAAAAAAATATAAGAAAGAACTAGAACAAGAGAGTTTGAAGCTTTCTCCTTTCTTTTCAAGCCTTCTCTACGTAGCATTTTGTTTGTCCCTTTTATACAATAGGTTGGTGTAACACCTTCAATTTTCCTACTATTGTATGGAAAAACTAGGGATTTTGGTGTAGGATATCTCACTGTAGCAAGAAAGAGTGTTCATAATCAGGCTTTCTGATGCTCTCTCGCTGTAGTCAGAATTTTCTCACTGCAACAAGGAGTTCTCGCTGTAGCGAGGATCTCTTACTGTAACTAGAATGACAAACATCAAAAGAGAATTTTGTCTGGTTTTTTTCCTGCAGCAAGAGAAGAGCTCGCTGTAGATAGAATATTGCGAGTTAAGAGATATTTAAGGGTCTTAAACCTAGAAAATTTGGATTACAATCCAAAGTTTTGACCTCTCCTTTGTTCTCTTTGATCTCTCATCCTATCTTCTCAAAAATCCTCCTCCAAACTTCAATCTCCCTTTGAATCTGAACATGGAAATTCAACCATTCAGATCCAGGTAAGTTTCTTAGAACTTAGTTCCCTAACTTCATTCTTATTTCTTAGTTTTATCCAATCTAAAGTTGTGTGCTTTGTAATGCTTAAGGGAACCTTAACCCTCAAGTTGGTATCCTCTCTCGAAACATTATGCCTCCTCCTTGGATCTGTAGGAAAACTCGATCTGAGAGACCCATTTTCAAATAAGGGGAGTTGATTCCAAACCCTAACTCCTCTTTGGTATTTTGATTTGAAAACACTAAGTTTTTCTATTAGAAACCTAGAACCTTAATATTTTTCTTAAAATCTAAAGTGTAGGAATAGAGCTAGACATGAAAAACCTTGATTACTTTCAGAACTATCTAAATGTAACTTGTAGTAAAAGCTCTAAATAAAACTATCTTTTAGGAATATTATGATTTTGCTAAGCAAACATTATTCAGGAGTAGTCAAGATTTGCTACTTGATGTTTTTGGAATGATACACATAATATGAATATTGGATTATGCTAAACTATAGGATAGATAACTTCATTAGTACTGAGAAAGTGTGTATATTAGATTATACGATTGGGCTGAGTTTGGAGGTGTTCTGATGCAATCCAGGAGAGTAGTTACATACGCTTCAAGACAACTTTGACCTCATGAAGTCAATTATCCCACGCATGATCTAGAGTTAGCAGCAGTGATATTTACATTGAAAATCTAGAGGCATTACCTATTTGGATTGAGATTCGAAGTATTCAATGATCATAAGAGTTTAAAATATCTATTTAATTAGAAAGAGCTGAATATGAGGCAAAGGCGATGGATTGAGTTTCTCAAAGATTATGACTTTGCATTATCTTATCATCCTTGGAAGGTAAACGTCGTAGCAGATGCGCTGAGCAGGAAATCATTACATATTTCAGCCATGATGATAGAAGAATGGAAGTTGATCGAAGAATTTAGAGACTTGAATTTAATCGTAGAAGTGCAACCCAAAAGCTTGTACATGGGTACTTTAAAAGTTAATAATAATTTCTTGATGCAAGTCCAAAAATGCTCAACTGGAAGAAGATCAATATTTACAAGATAGGGTACAACCAAAGGATGAGAGCAAGGGCTTGCAGTTTTATCGCGACTCAAATGGAATTATCAAATTCAAAGGCAGAGTGTGCATGTGCAATCATACAAATCAAAATCAATCACCCAATTCGCATATATCAAGAGGACGAAGCAAAAATGAAATCATGTAGGAACTCTATCCTCCTTAATGACTAATGCCTTAACTTAACAACTTCCAATTCAACAAAGGAAAACAAAACAAAACAATGCTAAATAATAGAAACCTATTACTCTCTCCCCCACATATCTCACATAACCTTGCAGCCCTTTGTGACAATGCCAACTACTTGATCAAAGAAGCTAAATCATCTAGCTTGTCCTCTAGTTTTCTATGATCAATGACATGAGTATTTTCTATCTCATAAACTCTTCTAGTTAAGGCCATTGGATTGTTTCTGGTACTGAACTGCTGATTATTAGAAGCCATATTTTCAATTAATTGCCTTGCTGCAATAGGAGTTTTATCTACCAAAGCTCCTCCATTGGCTGCATCAATCATCTGTTTATCCATGGATATAAAAGCTTCATAAAAGTATTGGATAAGAAGTTGATCAGTAATTTGATGATGTGGACAACTTGCACAAAGCCTCTTGAATCTCTCTCGCTACTCATACAAACTCTCTTTGTCCATTTGCCTTATACTACAAATTTCTTTTCTGATTGAAGTCACTCTGGATGCAGGGAAAAAATTTTCTAGGAATATCCTCTTTAGACCATCCCAGCTAGTGACTGATCCAAGTTGTAAATAGTAAAACCAATCCTTGGCTGTGTCTTGCAATAAGAATAGGAATGCTTTCAACTTTATGTGGTCCTTAGGAACTCCAGCTGGTCCCATGGTAGTACACACAATGTGAAATTCTTTGAGGTGTTTAAATGGATCCTCACCTGCAAGACCATGAAACTTGGGCAACAAATGAATCAATCCAGACTTTAGAACACAAGGTGTATCTATATTAGGATATTGGATGCACAATATTTGAATAGACACATCAGGTGAAACAAGTTCCCTTAAAGTTCTAACAGCCATAATATCTAAACCAAAATAAAAAAAGAAATAATAAATTTTTTTTTTTTGGAAACCACCAACCAGCCTCTGGCTTGTTTCCATTGCATAGATCTTGTCAAGTTATATGAAATGCATATATTATAATAAGAAATTAGAGCTATATGCAAAAAGTTATGCCACTTTTGAGTTTGGACAGAGATCTACACGTTCAGATACACGCTCGTGTAGTTTTCAAAAATTGTTGGGCAGAGATCTACATGGTCATGTACATGGCCGTGTACTTGACTGTGTACATCTTTGTGTGAGATTTTTTTTTTGAATTTTTGGGCAGTAATCTACACGGTCATATACACAGCCATGTACTTTTTCAACGAATGTAGAATGCAAAAATGTAGAAACACAACACAGAATGTAGAGAATTGATGATGTAATACTAAGCAAGGATAGATGACTACCTACTATGCTATTCAAAGGCTACTAAAGCAGAATGCATAGACACAATTATGCTAAATGAAAAATGCTAATTATACAGAATCCTAATTCGATGAAAAACGCTAATTATGTAGAATTCTAATTCGAGGAAAAACGATAATTATGCATAATCCTAATTAGATGTAAAACGCAACACAGAATATGCAATGCAATCAAATAACATCATCATCCCCGGCAACAGGGCCAAAATTTGATCGCGAGTGTCGCACTTGGACAAATCAAGAATTGGGTTCTGAACCTTCATAAGAATTGTGTCTTTCTCTTAGCTTTCCTACAAATCAAGAATCACAATTAAATGAGTTCTACAACTCAAGATATGGTCCATAAACCAAAATAGTATCAGAATTTACCAAA